CGACTGCTGGTGCTGCTCGTAGAAGGACATGAAGGAGAAAAACTTCTCCATCATGCTCTGGTCGAAGCCCGTAGGGCGATCTGTGAGAGTCTCGGTGGACGTCCCCCTAGGTCTTGTTGCCGTGCCTTCCTCTGTCTGCAGGCCAGAGGCAGGAGGTGGTGTAGGAGTAGTGCCCGGGGAGCCATTAGAAGAGCTCCTCTCCTTGTTTGTTGCCATGTCTTGTAATGTCTTTGATTTGGAAGTGGTAGAGTTTCCCCTGACTGCTCTCATACCATGTTGGGCTGAGATAGCCCCTTAGGATCTTTTCAGAAGTAACTCTAGGTAGGATAGTATTGTAACAGCGGAAGCTTTCAGTGAAGAAGTTGTGAACCACCTTGCGCTAGTATGTGAGGGCAAAGTAGATTGATTATAACAAGAGAGTACAAGAATATATAATAATGCAGGGAATATCAAGGGATACAGTTATAACTGCTTTTGCTGTTGCTGTTGCGGTTCGATACAGTACGACTCGGGCAACTGCTCTGTAACGAGTCAGTTGTATGTCCTTAACTGTCGCGCTGTACTTGTCGGGTCAAAGGTCGCTGACCTTTGACTTTCGCGTAACCTCCAGCAACCTCTTCAACCCCCGAGGGTTGACTCGCGGGTGCTTCGGTGTAGTTTGCCTCGCTTCTGATGCGGTGTTTTCGACACGACTGAAGCGCTTAAGTTTCACTGTTTCCAACACTAGCAACATTTCGTACGTCGCCAGAGTTGTGGTGACTTGATTTGCCGGGGGAAAACCAGCTGCACTAATGAAAGGTTACGCATAACGGCGACACGGAACTCATTTCGGCTGTGACTAATCATGCGTAAATTGTTCTGCTTCGGCCAAAGGAAATTGTCCGAGTCATTTACTAGAAGTCAACCACTTGATGTTACCATATGCTTCTAAACAAAACTCTCAACATAAGTCAAGCATGGTTAATGGATAGAAAATGCTAATCGTCATACCGAGAACCCCAGCGGCCCTGCACCAATTAGAACCAACACAGCATAAGAAATGCACAATTGAAATGATGTGAAGTTATCCAGGCATAGCTGTTGAGAAACTCCCACTTCCCAATTAACACAGCATGCAACAATTAACACACGTTCAGCAACACACCTGAACGTGTGTGCAGGCCTCAAACCAATCAATGCCCTCCTTGATCCACACGCCCATCATTTCCTCCTTCCATCTCATTCAAATCAAGCAACTTACGTCCCTCCGTCCCCTCCTTCCCTCCCTCCACCGCCTCTGCCTCTGCGCCAGCCGCCTCAGCCTCTGCTGCTGCTGCTATCGCATCCAGCCCTAAGCTCATCCCGTCTCCCCCTCCCTCTCCCACGCTCCCACCTGTATTCTCACCCTCATTGATCCTTTGGCGTTTGTTTCCTGCATCATCCCCCTTCACACCCTCACAATCACCTCCAGCTCCTCCCTCACCCCCTTCTTCAGCCCCCCTTGACCTCTTACCCCCTACAGTCGCCACTTCCCCTTTATCCTCTTCCGATTTATCTCCCTCTGCTGCATTTCCCTCATTCTGCCGCTCACTTGACCCACCTGCTCCTCTAGCTGCTCCCCTCTCCCCTTCCTCCCCCCTACCTTCCTCCGTTACCTCCTCCTTTCTGTCCTCCCCTCCTTTCCCCCCCTCCTCTCCACCCTCCTTTCCCCTGCTCCCGGTTCCCCCCTCCTCCTTCCTCCCCTCTTCCTCCCCTCCCTCCCTCCCTTTCTCCCTCTTCTCCTCCTCCTCCCGCCCCTCTCCCTCCTCTCCCGGCCTCCTCCTCCCTTCCATCTCCTTCCCGCCATCGTCACTCTTCGAAACCACCTCCTCAGAACCCCTCCTCTTCCCATCCCTCCCAGACGAAGCATCACTAGCAGACGGCGACCCCTTGCCCCGAGAAGACGACCCCGTGCTCTTCGACCCCCCACTTTTCCCCTCCCTGCTCTTCGATTTCGAACTCCTTGACTTGGACGACGTCGAGGACCTCGATTTCGATCTACTCTTAGATCTAGACCGAGAGGATCGAGAGGATTTCGACGATTTCGACGATTTTGATGATTTCGAGGATTTCGAGCGAGACCTACTCCGTGACCGGGAAGATTTCGATCCCGACGAGCCGCTCGATCGACTACTACCCACGGACCTGGACCTGCTACTGCTCGACCGCGATCGCGAGCGCTTCCTCCTGCTACTCCTGTCGCCTCCCCTCTTCTCACTTCTCCCCTTCCTCCGCACACCACTGTCGCTATCACTGGAATCCTTTCCCCCTTTGCGCCCTCCTCTTACCTCGTCTCTTCCCTCTGCATCCTTCTCCCTCCCGCCACGCCTCCTGCCCTCCTCCTCCCTCTCCTCACTGCTCCCATCCCTAGCCTTGTCCTGCAGCGAAGCCCACGAGAGAAAAAGAAACAAAAAAAGAAAGAAAAAGAAACAAAGAAAGAAAAAGAAACAAAGAAAGAAAGAAAAAGAAACAAAATCGGTCCTGTGGTCCTTCAACCTGGCCTGGACCTCCACAGCAGGAAGCAACCTGGTCAGCTCTCCGTTTTCTCTCGCTCCACTTTCCGCCTTTAAACCCGCTCCTCGCTACCTTGCTTTTCAAGCCCATGCATTCGTTGGAACAACAGGCCCCCAACAGCATGTAAAGCTAACACTTCCCAACGTGCTAACCACAGCGCATTTCTAACTAGCTCTTGTGTTTCTACAGATTTGATCTACACCAAAACCAATACCTATATATATCCAGCGAAAACGAACATGAATGTACCTTCTTCGCGTACGTCTCCAACCCATTATTAAGCTCCTCCTGTGCCCCTATTGAGTAAAAATACACCATAACCAGAACGAACACCGAAATGTATACCATGAAACCGAGTGTATCTTAATGTACGTCTCCAGCTCACTACTAAGCGCCTTCTGTGATTAAATCGAGTCGATCTACACCAGAGCCTGAATTAGCCCCTATAAATACGACTATAAATATTTCACGAAACCGAGTGTACCTTCATGTACGTCTCCAGCTCATTATTAAGCGCCTCCTCTGCCGCCCTCCCACTTGCCTTGGAAGCAATGCGCCGCCCCTCGGCCCCCGTCCCCGCCACTGCAATTCCCGCCGCCCCCGCCGCCGCCGCTGCCCGTTCCGCAAAGCGCCGCGACCGGGTAGGGCACTGCGGGGAGGCAGACAGGCGCGGGGAAGACAACGAGCGGGAAAGAGCGCAGGGGGAAGGTGGGAAGGAGGGGAGCGGAAGGGGCGGGTTGGGGGGTTTGGAGCGGGGGGGAAGGGGGGGAGAGGGGGGAAAGAAAGAGGGGAAGCGGGAGGGAAAAGGACACGTCAATTATTGGCGCGTTTTACAAAGGGGCGCGGTTAACAACCAGGGCATGAGCAGCTGCGGAACAAGAGGGCAGCGAATTGCGAGAAAGGGAGGGTAAGGAAAGATAGGGGGAAGAAAGGAACGGTGGGAGCGGGGGGCGGAGAGGGAAGGGTGGGGGAAGGGGGGGAGGGGGGGATGGGCGTGGGAGGGGTTGGGGGTGGGAGGGAGAAGGGGAGGGGATGATAGAAGGACATGGCGCATGCTCAAAATTTATCACTGAACCAAGCGGTGAACCGCAAAAAAGGCATAAACCGTAAAAGCAGCATACACACAGCTAAGACTGGCACGCGATAGGCGTAGCGTACCTCTCGCGCGAAGTGCCCCGGCTCGCCGCACTCATAGCACCCGTCTCCCGCCGGCCGCACCACCTGCGGCGGAAACCCCGTCCCTATCGGCGCCCCAAACGCCGCAATCCCCGGCGGAAATCCCGGCCTGAACGCCCCGATCCCCGCCCCCAGCCCCCCCATCCACCGATCCTGCATTCCCGGACCTAGCCCTCCCACTGCCGCGGCCGCCGCCGCCGCCATTGCCGCCGGCGGCATCATCGGCGCGCCACCGCCAAACTTCTCCGGGCATTCCCGCGCGAAGTGCCCCTTCCTGCCGCAGTAGTAGCACCCGTCCTGACCGAACTCCGAGCCTGGGCCGAACCCGGGCCCGGCTCGGCCCGAACCTATGGCTCCGATGGGGGCGCCGAGGGGTGGTTTGGAGGGGCAGTCGCGGGCGATGTGACCCACTTCGTTGCAGACGTAGCAGCGCTGCTCTATGGGGCCGTCGGGGTTGCCCTGCTTGAACTGACACTGCAAGGGTTCAGAGGGGTGACGAGCGGTTGAGGGAGGACGGGAGGGGTGGGGAGGGACGCAAAGAAACATTGATGCGGTTCAGAATATTTTACCCACATCGCTGCAGACGTAACAGCTCTGCTCTTCAGGGCCTTCAAGGCTCCCCTGCTTGCGACTGAAACCCTGCAGGAGGCAGAGGGGCGACGCGGGGTGGAGATACGGTGCAACGAGCGGCAGAGAGGCGCACTGACTCGAACTGGGAACCAGTTCACGAACGGAAGGCGGTAATAGGAAGCCAGCACAGCGCCTCGTAAGGCGATTTTTCCAGCAGACCCACCTTGTCTTGTAAACTACGGTGAAATGGCGAGGTGCCCACCTCGAATCAGGAGGCTAGGAGGAAAGTTGGGCGGAGAGCGTTGGAGGCAAGAGGAGGCAGTGCACGACACGTGTCTCATATCTCTCCCCCTCTTCCGCCCCCCCCCCCTCGCCCTCCCCCGCCCCACCCCACCCCGCGCACACCTATTTATCCACTTTCTCAACTCTTGCTTGTCTTTCCCCTCGGTGTATACCTCCGCCACGCCCTCATCACCCCTCCACCTTCCACCTCACTCCACTCCATCCAACTCCGCTCCAGTCCTCTTCACTCCACGCCACCACACTCCACCTCTCTCCACCCCACTCCATTCCACCCCCTCCAATTCCTCCACTCCGCTTCACCTCCATAAATTTCAGCGTCCTGCCTTCCCAATCGTCCTCCTTCTCCTACCCCTCACCCTGCCATCCCACATCGTTTCTCCGCTAGTCTAAACAGCTACGCGAATGACCCACCTTCGCCGTTACTTCGCACCGAGCATGTAAAGCCCGCAAGGGAGAACGAGAGGGAGAAGGTGAAAGAGCAGGTGCATTTGCAGACACACAACTTTCAAGTGCTGCGTAATAACTCTGCTTTACTAACTCCTCCCTCTACCTCTCCTTCTTCCGCTCCCCCTCTCGATCCCTCTCCCTCTCCCTATCCTCCTCCCTCATCCTCCCAATCGCCCATCGTCCATCTCCCTCTCCCTTTCATCACAAAAAAGACAGCAACTGTTGCACTACTGAACGACCAACGGATCAACCAAGTCTTCCCCAGATGACCAACTTAAACGGAAAGAGTTCTTGACGCATATAGAAATAAGCGACAAGCAAAACAGGTTGCGAGAGTACAGCGGCGACGTGAAAGAAACAAAGTGAGCTTGAAACTTGGAAAAAAAAACACGAAAAAAACAAAAAAAGGAATGGATTGAACTGAAGGCCGTGAGATAGGAACAGAATCCGACTAGCCTCGTGACCATGATCAGCTCTTTCCACTCGGACATACCTCTCGTGCCACGTGTCCCCTCCGCCCGCATTCGTAGCACTTGGGTCCCATCCCATCGTCGCCGAACCTTCCGCCGAACCCGCCTCGCGCGCCGAACTTGCTCGGGCACTCACGCGCCCAGTGCCCAACCCCGCCGCACGCGTTGCACCGATCGCTCATTCCCGGACCTCCTCCCGGACCTCCCATTCCGCGCGGACCTAACGGTGGACCTCCCATCCCCATAGGCCCGCCGCCGCCGAACCTGCTGCCAGACACGCCGTACCGGTCGTCACGATCGCGATCATACCGGTCGTCACGATCGCGGTCGTACTTGTCGTCACGGTAACCGCCGCTGCTGCTCCGGCCGGCAGAATCGTACCGGTCGCTGAATCCCGAGGGTCGATCTCGACCGTCGCCTCTATCGCGATCTTTCTCCCGCTCGCGAGAAGAAGCCTTTTCGCGGTCCCGATCGTGATAACTGTCCTTATCCCTGTCCCTGTCACGATCGTAGGATCGGCCTGCTTCTCTGTCCCGTTCGCGCTCCCGGTCCCTTCCGGAGAATCCTGACCGGTCAGTTACACCGTAGCGGTCGCGATCCCGTGAGGCGCCGGCGAGACTGTCGGATCGTCGCGGCGATCGGGACCGTTCGCGATAAGACGCGTGAGCGGAAGGACGGTCGCGATCCAAGGAATCGTAACCGCTGCGTGAGGGCGGCTGCGAGTCGAACTGGCGGACCGAGTCGTAGGGTGAGCGGCCATAACCAGACGCCATGGCCTTAGACTTCGCTAGAACTTCAGATCCTGAATATGAAATATCACGATAAACAGTAAGCGACGAATGAATCACAAACGCCAGGCCACGAAGCTCCTATCCTGGTAGTCTAGTCTAGGCGGCTAGCCCACGTGACCAAGATAGAGAGACCCATAGGTTCAAATCAGGCTACCTGGCTGCTGCTGACTTTCACGAAACCCTAGGTTCCCTACACCAGACCCACCAAAAAACGCGCGGGAAATCATCGCTTGAGTGGTGCTCCACCATCAAAAGAGGTTATATGGCCTTACACTGAGCTGTACATTGCGTTACCGTTTTTTGAATGTACCATTTCAAACATTGAATGTTCTTCTTACACTTGCAAAGGGCTTCGACAAAGTGGGCTAGGAAAGAGAGGGAGGTGGGAGAGAGGAGGGAACGGGGGGAAGGTTAGGGGAGGGAGATTGTTTTGGAAGGGTCCTATTAGCAGCATTCCCTTATTTTAAACTGTCAAAACTACTTTATATGTCTGTAGGCTGTAGTAGGGTAGCACACATAGGGTACAACCCTTTTAGGGTTAGGTACTTGTACTTTGATTTTCTGCTAGTAAACTCATTCCTGCTCGTTAAATTCTGACATGGTTTCAGAGCATGTAGGACCGTAGGACCGTTTTTTTTCCGGGCCCATCGTTACCTAGTAACCGACTGCGGTTACCGCACGCCCTATTGTACGCACTGCCCCACCTGCCCCTGCTGCCGTTGTTTCGTCCAGCGTAGCGCTGCTCAGCTGCCACGCACGCTACCTGCCCTCCCCCAGCGCGCTTTCGCGCTGCCCTGCCCAGCCCTGCCGCACGCAGCCCGTCCAGCCCGCACGTCGCCCGCGCGCAGCCCGTACAGCCTGCGCGCAGCCTGTACAGCCCACGCACGGCCAGCGCGCGGCCCGTACAGCCTGCGCGCACCTGCCCTGCCCCACGCGTCAGCCCTGTGCCGCCCGCGAGTGCCTGCCCTGCGCTCTGCCGGCGACCCGCGAACTGCCCTGCTAGCTGCGCGCTGCCCTGCTCGCTGCGGCCGGCCTGCGCCCCTGCTCGCGCGAGCTTCTGCTACTGCTGCTGCTGCTGCTACCATGGCCACCATTTCGGTTCTTAGCTTTGATGCGGAGGGTCGCCCTATGAGCTTTGACGTCTGGCTCGACGATCTCCAGCTATACCTGCAGAGCGAAGCTAGGGATGGCGTTTCTTTGATAGAACATACGTCCGGATCCCTCATCGCCCCACCTGATACAGCCGACCGCTTAGAACAGTCCAAGTGGCTCACGCGTGACGCTACTGCTCGTTTTGCTGTCTGCAACCACCTTCCACTAGCCGAGAGGGCGCATTTTAGCCAACAGAAGACAGCCAAAGCCCTCTATGACGCCGTTGTAGCTCGCTAATCTTCCCCCTCTACTGCTACCCTAGCCCGTCTCATGCTCCCGTATCTGTTTCCCGAGCTGTCCGACTTCCCCACTGTCCCGATCTCATCAACCACCTTCGTTCTAGTGACACCCGCTTCCGCGCTGCTCTCAAGCCCACCTTTCTGGCTGCGTAACTCGCCCCCTATGTACTTCACCCTTTACTTCCTCGTCACCCACCTCCCTGACTCTCTTCGCGCAGTTAGGGATCACTTCCTTGCCCTTGACCCCACCGAGCTCACTGTCGACATGCTAGAGAAACAGCTCCTCACGGCTGAGACTAGTGCCGTAGCTGTTGCTGCTTCTCGTGGCACTCCGCGCACTCCCTTCTTTGAGGGGTGTTCTCCCTCTCTTCTTGCCCCCTCTGTTGCCTCTGCTGCTACTGTTGCTAGTGAACTCATTCCTGCTGGCTAGATTCTGACATAAACCTCTGCATGCATACGTTTTATACATATGTATTTTTTTTTAACGGTTGTTGCCTTATACAATGTGATTAAAGCTACCTAGGGCAGTTGGAATCATATACATCTCAGAATATAATTGGATGGATATTGGGGAATGTATTCTATGTCCCTTGATGGGAAGATCAAATATCAAACTAACGATATTCATACTTTACTTGGGTATTATATGAACTAGCAGATACGGTGTCACTGCCGGATCACCTTGGTGCATCTTTTCCATTCTTGGTTAAAACAAGAGGCTGAATATCGAAGGCAGGTCCAACATGCTGTGATCAATGAGAACGAAATTGGGCTGATAGAAGTCGTGTAACTAGCACCTGCCATTTGTTTTTTCACCCCATTCTTGCGACATGCATTTTTGCATGATGCACCCGGAGGATGGTTACACGGCAATGGTTTTGGTCGTAGGACTCGACTTGAGGTTCTAATTGGCCCTACATTCACAAATTCTCTTGACATAGTGCATGAATTGAAGACAGGCAATGCTCTTGGTGGCTGCTTCACCGTGTAAATCCACATGCCATTGACTATGTTCGCCCCAGGAAGGGGAACTGCGTCACGTAGGTGCCTATAGGCCTTCAAGATGCTATGTCACGTCCATGGCTGCCATCCACTCAAAGGCCTAGTTTCCCAAGACGGCCTCAGCGTAAGTAAACGGACTTGGAATGCCAACAGTATATGGGTCACTCTCCTGGGCTAGCAGCATGTCACAGAGATGAGGATCAGTGGTTGCATGGAAGGCCAGCTCGAATCGCATGTCCTCTATGACATCATTTCTAAGGGCATGAGCACCTCCAACGGACGGAGGGCGGGCGGGGCAAGAGACCAACTAAGTGACAAAGTCAAGGCGGCGGGTGGAGGCAAAGTTACTAACAGCGGCGACGAAGGGCAAAAATGTAGTAGGGTTCGTAACGAGGGAGGAGAGAACATGGGAGACGGCAGAGCGAGCGGCACGGGAGAAGTCAGATAACGGAGGAGGAGAGACAGTAAATAACAGCTAAGGAGGTAACGGGAGAACAGGAGGTGGCAGCACACGAGGGGGGAGAAAACAGAGAATCATAGATTGGATACTGAAAACGGGAGACGAGGTACGAGCACGAGTGGGATGACAGGTGAGGAAGGAGAGGAGGAGACAACAATGAACAAGGAGGAGAACGAGATGGGAACATGGGACCGTAAGCAGGGAGAGATGGTGAGCGGTCAGATGAGGGGGACGGGAGACCAAGAAGATGAAGAGAAGTTACATGCAGCGACGACTGCTGCTGCTTGTGCTGCTGCTTACCGCTACTACTGATACTGTTGTTGTTGAGTCATTGTTGTACCCCCAATACCATCACCACCTTAGATTGTACCTCCAGAACCAGCTTCCCTAGTGTCAGTATCCTCCGACATACCAATACCTCCACCTCTCTCAACCCGTCCAACTCCTCCACTCTGACAAGGACCCCTACGGCGTCGCTGCCCTCCAGATGTAGCAAAGCATGCGACCACCGCAGTAGGGCTCGACAATAGCAACAGAGGCAATGGAGGCAAAGAGCTCTGATGGAACGCACCCCTCGAACATGGGGGCAATGGGGCAACGGCAAGTCTAGATTTCAGTGAGGCGAGTCTCAAAGAAGTGGACAGTAAGGCTTGTGGGGTGCATAATGAGGAAAGCGTCATGAGCAGGGGCACAGTGCTCAAGGAGGCGTGTTGCAAGGAATTACATGGTAATAGAAATGGGGGCCAGGTGCTCAACAAGGATCTCAGTAGTGGATGTTGCGTGAAAGCTAGTGTAAAGCAAGCGGCATGTGCTTAAGAAGATCAACAACATTATGGAACGTAGGGAAATCAGGAAAGAAGAAAGGGAAAAGGTAGCGGCCTAGGAGTAGAGTAGCAAGCCACAACACCGTACCTAAGTGCCCCCACTCAGCTTCCAGAAGATGATTGTCGATACCAAAGCGTGCAGTAGCATTGCCTGCCTCCCAGTGTTTGCGCTGCTCTGACATGGCCTAAGAAATAAGAGCAGGAGGATGGAGCAGGGTCGAGAGCTCATTCAAAACGTGGTCGGGGATGCCATGCTGAAGATGGCTCTAGAGATACAGCTCACTTCGGGAAGCTACTCAGCAAAGTCGAGGGCATGTCCCTCCGCATCGAACCACAAAAAAAGGCAGTAGCCATGGTAGCAGATGGTAGGGGTAAATCGGTAGCAAGGAGGAGGAGGAGGAGGCACCGTAGTGAATGCAACTGTAGGCGCGGGATGGGTTTTAGCGGTAGCAACACGGACGCAGATCGGCGTGGGCCACGCGGGCTGTGCAAACGACGAGGGTGACACGATCGGCCAGCTGCAGCAGCACACCGACACAAAAAGGTGGGCAGCGTAGGCAGGCGTGTGCAGGCTGGGGTGCTGACAGGCTTGCGCGCTAGTCGCACTCTGGATGGTGTGCTGGTAGGCTCGTGGGCCGAAGGCTGGCAAGCGGCACGTGGGTAGCAGGTAGGCAGGGCGCTGGTTGCTGCGGGCTGGCTTGCAGATTGGGCGCTGACTGCGGAGGTAGTGCGCAGTACCTCAAGGGCAGAACGAGGGCAGCGAGCGGGCAAAGCAGGCAGCTCGTGAGCGGTGCGCGGAGAGGGCACTGGCTGCTCCTGGTTGGCGTTCTCGCTAGCACGAGGCTGGCTAGCGCACTAAGGTGGGTGGCGCAATGGGGCACTCTAAGAGGCGTGATGGGGCACTCTAGGGAGGGCGCGTTAGGGGCGTATTATGAGAGCTCTAGGCGGAGCCAGGAGAGGACGAGGCAGGCGGAGGCGGTTGACGTAGACCTGAACTTAACAATGATACCATGTCAGGAAACAGAAATGACTAGAATGAGAGAAGTACAACAGTATATGCAAGTATGTACTCTCTATAGCGCACCTATGCAAATCTTACAATAGGAAGTACACAAAACACAACCAATTTGCACTCCCAGATCAGAAATGTGCCCACGTGAGTATAAAAAGGGTTTTTAAGTGTTTGCAGCTTTATCTTTAGGTTCACACTAGCTTGAGGAGCATTTTAACACCCACTGTGTTTCATAGTTACAGTTTTGCTTACAACCAAGGGCTTTTGAATTTCATGAAGCACAATATGCAGGGTAAGGGCATCTGTTACGAGTGCAATTGAAGGTTCGAGCGAGGATTGCACAAATGTGAGCGAAGACTTGAGCGAACATTCTTAGCAAAACAAGCGAACAATAGCATGGTGCATGCAAGCTAGCTAAAGCAATGCTGGCATCAAAACTTGGCCTAGTCCTGAAGCGTAGGCCGACTAGGCATAGTTTCGCAGTGCGAGGCTTAGTAAAAGAGTTGCGCAAAGTGGCGAACGCAGTTATGCTGTAGCGGTTGAAGAACAGTGGAGCGTTATACATGTGGTGGTACGCGGTAAAGAATCCGGACATTTTCCTGACAGCACGTGTTAATGCTGGACACACAAGCACCGTACTCCGACATTTTAGCCAAATTGTGGGTGTTACGACAAATTTTATGGGGCAGGGTTAATGCACAGAATGGGTCTAAACGTAAAAATATCTCTTCTGACCCTTGCTCTCAAACCAAGCAAAAAACTTGAAGTAAATCAAAACACACCATATGCCTTTAGCAGCATCGCCCTACACACATGTACCATCTGTAGATTCTACATACACGTATCATCAAATACACCAGAATTAAATGCAGAAGTTCCAGGAGCGAGCTCAGGCTGGATAAACAAGTGATCTGGAAGAGCACCTGGAGTTGATGCAGGAGAATGAGAGTCCGCTACTCCCCTGGATGGTAATGGGTCAGAGGAAGCCCCACGACTACCAACACCTTGGCACCGAGCAGCATCTTGCTCGCTCAGAGCGCGTGCTTCACCCTCCTCCACGCTCCCATCCTCACGAATCCTCCAATCCGACGGCAGAATACTGCTCAACTCCAGTCGTAGCCGCCTCACTTCCTGCTTTGACTCCTCCTTCTGCACTTGGAACTGCTGTATCTGCTCATTAGCTTCTGTCAACCGCCGATGCGCGCTTGCATTGTCCAGCTTCAGATTCGCAGCGTCGATCTCAAGCTGTGCCAGGCGGTCCTGCTGTCTCTGCCGCGCTCGTCGTGAGGACGCACAGTTGGACAGCTCCCTCTTGCGCTTCCTCTCCTCTGTGTGTTGCTCCTCCGGTGTGTAAGGCCCAGGGCTCCCGTTTGTGCCTGAAGCAGTGTGCGGTTCAGAGCGGTTGACTGAACCATCACCACTCCCAGTGCCACCAGCACCACCAACACCACTCCCCGCACCACCAGCACCACTCCCAGCACCACCAGTACCATTTCCCGCACAGTTAGAACCACTCGTAGCA